ATATTAAACTGTTCAATAAAACATTTTTAACAACAACAAATAAAACAGGAACTGTCAAAGATGAGTAAATTCAGAACAAGTGAAAACTGAACAAGTTTGATGAGTTATGAGCAGCTGATCATTTCTCAGTTTCAACTTGAATCGAAGCAAAATAAAAGGCAATAAACAAGAAGGTTTGCTGGAAGCAACTCTTCTTCAAACTAGGGCCGGGCCATATGGCTGAAAAATGTTTCAGGATAGAGTTTTATTGAATGAATTCTGGAAGCTTATGGAACTTCAATTATCCACGCTCTATCAGACACATTTTATATTCATATTCATCACGTCTATCCTGATACAGCGGGTAAAATAAGTATTGAACACGTCACCATTTTTCTCAGTAAATATATTACTAGAGGTGCTAATGACATGAAATTTTCACCAGATGTTGGTAACAACCCAAGTTACCAACATCTGGTGAAAATTTCATGTCATTAGCACCTCTAGTAATATATTTACTGAGAAATATGGTGATGTGTTCAATACTTATTTTACCTGCTGTATATATAATGGGGTTAACAACAGAGTTTTATTGCAGGACCAGGCCTGTAGTCACTGCACAATTTCCTTTGAAATTAAGGCTTGTGGGACCTTTGCTGCACTGAGACCCTCTGATTGTTCCCAATTCTCTTTATATTGTTTTAGTTATAAACTCATCTTTAAGAGGGCTGTTAATAGTAATACACAACTTCAGTGGGACTTCTCATAAACGCTGCAGTTATTAACAAAACAATTCATATTTCCACATTCATTCAACAAATTAAACACACTAACAGCAGTCTATGTTCGTATAAGTTAACTTCTCTGGTCCTTTTAGTGATTTCTACTGTATCTGAATTGGTTTCCAAATTGGTCTTACTGTATGTCCAAAAATATTTTTCTAATATTTTTTATAATTGACGAAAAAAGTTATTTTGATTAGCAATGGAGTCGTTTGTCCATTTGAAATGTTGGTTGTGTGCCCACAAAGCTATTTATTGTAGCAAGCACAGTTTTTTTTCTAATTATGCACATAATGTCCGTTTAGTGCCTTTAATGATAACATTATTGGTACATATTGACATGACATGAATATTTTGGCATTTTCTTGCTTCTCATCTGGATGATTGGTTTACGAAAAAAAATCAGATTACAATGTAGCATATAGGCTTGACTTGGCCAACAACATCTATGAGAGGAAGATGTTTTTTTTTTCATCTGTAATTTCTCACTTTCTTTTAACCTAAAAAGAGTTAACATGAACAGTGTGCATAGTTAGGTCAAGAATTAATATATATTGTTGTCAACCGGGCCAATCAGCAAACAGAAGGAGGAGTTATAAACAACGACGTCAATTTTCTGTGTCGTTTTTATTAGGCAGCGGAGGAAGTGAATGAAACCAGTCTGTGTTAACAAGGCTTCCAAATTAAATTAAATTTGTCTCACAAAGCCTGCAGCTCTCATTTACAGCTGTCTCTTTCAGCTCTGTACTTCTCTTTTCCCAGTAGAGGATGGTTGCTTACAGTGCATACGTTACAGCCAAAAGTTAGTGATTGGCTAAATCAGATCCAGTTATTTTAAACTTCAACAGAGTCCACACCTCCAGCAAGAAATTGCTTCTAAATACAGTATTGGAGACTCCAGACCCTCTGTACAAAGCATTTTTACCAGGCTAGGTTTAAATGTTTTTAATGCATATTTTGAGTTAAAAAGTCATAATTTTTAGACCATTTTAATACTTATGAAAATCCATCCGCATTTATAGTTCTTCTGCATGTTTGTTTGTTTGTTTGTTTGTTTGTTTGTTTGTTTTAATCTCTAACTATTGTATTATCAGCTATTTCAGTTATTTCCAATAATAATTCTTCTGGTCATTACAGTAATAACTTTTAGTATTCACAGCTTTTATACGTTTTGAATATTTTTATCTTTATTTACAGTTTTTGTCTCATAAAATTTAATCGAGTTCTATTCAGATCCTTGAAAAACAGTGCTCTCTCTTCTTCAGCATGCTTGGTTCATTTTTGTTTTAACTTTTGGCTTCTGCTTTTCTGCTTTTAACTTTTAGCCCTTGTTTACATTGTTTTAACCTTAACAACTCTGTTTTAGCTTACTCAGCAAATTTCAGCAAAGAAGGAAAATTCAGTACTCAGCATTCACACTGTTTTTTATTTATTTTATTTTTTGCTGTTTTTCCTGCATTTTTCTAGTTCTAGATATGCTTTTCTCTGCAGTTTCTGTGTTTTAGAAGTTACTTTAGAAACATGTTGACGTCTCACTATTTGTAACTACGAATTGCAGAAATACTTTTTACTGTAGCTGTTACACAGTTTTTGGTGAGACTAGTCATTCAGTCTTCCCAAATCTCAAATATTTGGTCCTTGCGCATCATTACTGTTGCTGTTTGCTGCATATTTACTCCTGCATTTTGCAGATTCTATGTGAAAAAGCGTTGTGGCTTGTGACCAACCATCTTGTCATGAGTGACAGGCGAGAACAGGTTGCTGCACGTTGTCATGTATTCCTGTTAACACATCAGCTCCTACCATGTTAGATGGGTAACATGAGGGAGCTTGAATCAACACATGGACCTTTTAGTGATAACACATGTACTTGGAAGTCTGAGTGCCACATTGGGGAATAAAGTAACACATCTGCTGATCCCCATTTTTTCTTACTTCCYCTTTATGATCTGTGTTTTCATGTGTTTATTTCAATCCACTAAAGCTGCTGTTGCGTTAAGTGTGCACAATGATGACATTCTTCAAAGCACACTTACTCAGAAGTTTAAATCATCCTTAAAGATTGATTATTTTTGCATTTTGTTGTTGCATTCCATCATGTTTTACCTCCCCATTGCATTGTGAAACACTATGCATTAATCGACTGGGCCTATTTGGGAACTTTCTCTTTGGATCTGCTCACTCAAGTCCAATTTTCACCGTAATTTTTCACACAAGCCCGCATGGCTTGATTAATAGTTTTTAAATCAATACRGCTGCATTTCTGCACGATTTGGCTCCAAAGTAAAACCAACCCGATAACTAGAGGATGGCTATCCAAGTGTGAAGACAAATGTGTGCAATAGGGATTCTTAATAACTCAAATAGATCCAAATGCATTTGTTTTTGTTTAGGAGTGTGTGTTGAAGAGTACTGGTGGCAAACAAAGGCAGAGAGATGCAGCCAAGCTTCCTAAATCAATTTTAATGTTTTTTTAAACACTGGAGAGAGGAGAGACTGCAACATTACACACTCACACACACCAACATGCACACCTTAGCTGGAAAAATACGAGTCACGTACTGTATATTTACAGTCACATGCTAAAAACAAAGCACATGTATGTATTACCACCAACTGAGACTCAGCTGGTAGGTGGCTAAGCTGGACATAAATATGCTCTGGAGGGGTTTGTTTTGTTTTTGAAATACAAGACTTTGACTCTGAAATTAAAATCTATTTTCGGACAAGCTCCTTCAGCTCTGTTTGGACAGAGGCAGGCACAAAGACCGGCTTTGCAGGAGGTTTAAAACTGGCATTTGACTGCTATTTTTAATTAACTGCATGATCCTGCAGTTTTAATTGCATATAAAGTCGAGTTTATGACTTTTACAGAGCTGTTTATTAACAATGTGATTAATATATGCACTTTTTTTGCAATATAAGCCAAATAAAAATCATGTTAGTTTGGCGTAAAGCGTGCATGAGCTTTGAGTTTCAGTTGATTGCATCCAAAATCATAAAGTTAATACGGAATGCTTAAAATAAGTGAATTCACTAAATCCTGATTAAGCTGTGTAGACAGTCGAGTTGCATCCAGAGAGGTAGAAAAACCTCGAGGATGTCAGGATGACGTGGCCTCACATTCACTGCATAATCTTCTAAACATGCAGCTCCAGCAAGTTAATCACGTTGACATTACACTTTTAAAAATAACAGAGTTTGAGCTGACATACTGTCACACAGCAGGTATAAAAAAAAGCTGCACTCTAAGCAGCGGCTTCGAACTGAAAAATTAACACCAGTTTTTAAATTGATTAAAATGACATAAGGTGGTGTGAAGGTCAGACTGAGAACAAGGAACAAGCTCTGGGATGCTGTTTTCTGCTATCATGTTTTTTTATTAATGTTTACCCAGATCATTTTCATAAAAGAAAATCGTTTTGCAAAGTTTCTTTGTCCGTCTGCTTGCACCAGTTGCTTTGCATAATAACACTGTAAATGTGCAGTTGTTTGAATGTGCAGTCCAAAGTCAAACCTGCAGATGACATGAAGTGATTAGCGGCTGAGCTAAACAGGAAACCATTGGCATATTTACATTTACTGACTTCATGCATCTATTAGTTGTTAAACTGGACTGGATCTGCATGCGCAGCGAGCAGTTTATGGAAACTTAACTTTCAAGCTAATAAAGTCGAATATGTTTCCACGCCATGAGTTAAGATTATTTTGAGACTATGCTAATTTCTGCTCACTTCCTGCAGCCTTTGCTCCTAAACACCCAAACAATCCTGTCAGCATCTGTAGAGTCACCACATCATGAATGTTTTCTTCATTTGTGCAAATAAGTAAAGCATTTTAACAAGTTGCAATTCACCTTTTGATGCTGACATCATCTATTGTCAGTCACAAACTGAATTTTTTTGGTATAAAAAACAGGATGAGTGTGTGTGAGGAGAGTAACACCTAACACTCCCCACAGACTTACCTGTTCACCAAATATCTCAGGCAGCACCCGCGTTAGAGCTCTCTGTCATCATCCATTCATCTAAAAATGCCGTCTGACAAGCAGGGGATCAAAAATGTGGAAACATCGCTGCAAACCCGTCCATCCATACGCTGAAGACTGTGGTCAAATGAATAATCGGGAATAATCCTTCCTTCTGTAAAGAGATGAGACCTCCAGTGAATTGTGAAAAAAAAAAATAAGAGGGATTGTTTTCAAAAAGAGGGATTTTAGAGGGAAAAAATGAGGTGAAGAGGGGCTTAGAGGAGCGAGAGGATGAGATCCTTAGATGGAGAGGGCTGGAGGTAGTTAATCCTTTCCTTCTGATCTTTGCCATCTATGAATGACATGTTTCGTGCTGTCCTGCTCGCTGGGTTGTGCTGCTGTGCTTCTGAGAGGTGTGTGTGTGTGTTTGTGTGTCTGAGAGGGAGAAGGAGCGACAACGGCATTAGGTTGCTGGCGTCACGCGCTTCGCTTTTCCCAGTGTGTCGCTGTGTTTTGTGATTCCGGCACTCGGCACGCGCCCGAGTGTGTGTGTGCGTTTGTGCGGATTTCCTGCGTGTCCTTAAAGTGTCGGTTGCCCTCTCCTCCCTCTCCTCTCCTCTCCTCGCTGGGTGTGTGTGTGTGTGTGTGCGGGCGAAAATGTGCGCGTGTTTTGCGCCTTGTCAAATATAGTAACATTAGTGCCTGCTGCCTCTGTCTGCCTGCAGCTCTCCAGCAGTGACAGAGGGAGGATGAGGGAGGAGGAATACTGAGCGAGCGATAATACCAGGGAGTGAAAGCTGAGAGAGAGGGGAAATAGAGGAGAGGTTTGTCAAAAAAAAGGTAAATAATAAAAAAAGGGTGGGAGAGAGATGGAGGCAGAGGACGGGGAGGGATGAGGTTGATGGACGAGGGGAAAGAAAGGGAGATGCTTGATAGAGGGAGGGAGTGAAGATGAGAATCTCCCCTCTGCCACATRGGCTTTTCTCCTCCCTCCATTTCTTCTTTTTGCATCTCCTCCTCACGTCTCCCTTTTATTTTCATTCCGTTCCCCGTGGCAYCTCTCGGAACGGCTGCTTTTGTGTGAATCTGTGTGTTTGCTTACATATGAATGAACATCCACATACATGTTAGAGTGTTACATCATCAGGAGAATAGTCTGGAGATAAAATGTAGCTCTAGACTGATAGTATGAGACAACTTAACAAAGATGAAAGGTGATGAGTGAAAGGGGTGTGTGTGTTGGGGAAGTTATGAATTGATCGGGGGATTTGGTTTGTTTGCACACACAACCATATAATTACTTGGCCGCTCGTCTTTACATGGAGTGAATCATAGCTGACACACACATACACAATATGCCGTTAATGAGCGTGTGAATCAATTGGCACAGTTGRCAGCGGTTAAATGAGAGACTTCTCCATGAGGGATAGAACCAGAACCACTCACCCGTGTGGTATATAGGGAGAAAAAAAACTGTTTTATATTTTTGCCAATACAGTTTGGTAATATAAGCCAAGCATCAACCAAAAAGCTAATATCAACTTCCTGTTGCAGCACTTTTAAGGTGTCCTTAAGTCGTCTCCGGCCTTAAGGCCACATGCTACTCATATTACCTCTGACCTTTCTGTTTATAACAGAGGAGCCCAAAGTGGGGCCCGCGGGCCAAATTTGGCCTGCCAAGCCATTTGATTTGGCCCACCAGCAGTTGAGTAGTTACTAACCTGTAACCTGTTGTTCTATGTAGAAACAATATTTCCATTTAGTCATTTCATCCATTGGCCAAGTGACTAAATAAGGGACTGTAGTGCAGATAGTTTTCACTCATGGTGTTGACTTTATCTTTGATATATTAAGATTAAACATGAAGCATGAAATACAAGTAACAAGATTTATTTAGATTAGATTCAACCACACATGTAGATTTTTGCACTTTATAAGGCCATTAAAAACTCATATTTTATCAATTTATTAAATGTCCCATGAGCTTTTTCTACTTGAGCRTATGGCAGACTTTCTCTAAGTTCACAAACTAAAACAAAAGTGGGCCACCACACTGGCTGCTAGCTTAATTGTTAAAAATAAAGGACTTTACTTAAAAAATATTTGTATTTCATGTATTATATTACTGCATTTGGCCCGCAGCCCCCAATACATTTTCATTTTGGCCCCCTTGAGGAAAATGTTTGGGCACCCCTGGTTTAGAATAAGCATGAAAAAATATAAAGTTTGTTTTTGTGAGTACAAGTGTCCAAATATACTAACGGTTTCATAAAAAATAAATAAGAACAGATTTATTTAGTGCTGTCTGTGTTTATATTCCAATATTTTTGTGTGCAAAATTTCACAACCACCTAAAACTCACAAAACAGCGGGCAGTTTAGAATTAGGTCATGATGATGTGTTCATAAATAGAAAGAACAACATGCACTTCCAATGTATTTCATGGTAAATGTAAGCTTAGTAAAAACGTAAGGAAATTTGTTGATTTGTTGAAGGTTGATCATTTCTTTGTTGCAAAACTACTTCTTGGCAATAACTTTTATACAGATGGAAATCACATTTGTTCCACTTCAAATGGTGCCACATTCTCCGTCTCCATCTTCTGCTGCTTATGTTGTCAGGTTGGGGAGGCAACAGTTATAGGAGAAAATCACAGACCTCCCTTCTCCCCAGCGACAATTTTTGGCTTGTCCTGGGGAATCCCGAGATATTTCCAGGCCAGAGAGGATACATAATCCATTCAATGAGTCCTGGGTCTTCCCTGGGACTTTCTACCAGTGGGACGTGCATAGGACGCCTCTAAARGGAGGCGTCCAGGAGGCTTCCTAATCAGATGAACCACTTCAMCTGACTTCTTTCAGTGTGAAGAAACAGCGGCTCTACTCTGAGCTCCTCCCAAATGATGGAGCTCCTCCCCCTTTTCTTTAAGGCTGAACMCGGCCATGCTACAAAGGAAGCTCATTTTGACCACTTGTTTTCTGATCGCATTCTTTCAGTCATGATCCACACTTCATAACCATTGGTGAGGGTCAGAACATAGACAGACCAGTAAATCAAGAGCTTTCTTTCAAATCAGCTCTTTCTTCACTATGAGGACGAGGACCCAATTCGTCAATCCATCTCCTGGTCCATCCTACAATCACTCATGAACAAGGCACCCAGATACTCGAACTCCTCCAATTGAGGCAGAGGCTCACGCTGACTTGGAGAGAGCATTCCATCCTTTTCCAGTCGAGAACCATGACCTCAGACTTAGAGGAACTCACTCCCATCCCAGCCACTTCATACTCAGCTGTGAACCCCACCCCCCAGCGCCCACTGAACATCTTAGCCAGAAGTTGCTAACAGAACCACATCATCCGCTTAAACAGAGATGAGACCCTGTGGGTTCCAAACCAGACACATTTCTCTCCATAACTGCACCTTGAGATCCTGTCCATAAACACCACATACAGGRTTGGAGACGAGGGACAGCACTGGCAGAGTCCAAGCTCGACATTTTGCCAAGAATATGGACACAGATCAGGGATTGTATAGTCCTTACTAGCAACCCAAACACTATACTCAAGAGCTCGAGGAACACAGTTGTAAGCCTTCTTCAGGTCCACAAAACACATGTAGACTGGAGAGAAACTTCCATGACCTCCTTAACAACTCAACAAGAGTAAAGATCTGGTCCAGGAAAATATATTTGTGGGTTGAGGAGTAGAGTGGGGTTTGGGGGTTTCTTGGCAAATGTTCTCAGTCAATAAAGCCAGATTATTCTGCCATTCACTCTTCTTTGATAGATTGACAAAGTAACACAGACATGAGCAACAACATGATCTCCCTTTTGCCTTCAACCTAATAGGCTGGCTTCATACACGATGTTCTGTTGCCTCCCTTCACAGTTTTTACTCAACACTGCCATCGCACACATACAAGTCAGCTTCATCTACATTTACAAAGGGTAGAGTTTACCAAAGTATTTGTTCAGATCAGGTAGAACTATTACCTGATCCACTGCCTGCTGCAGGAACCCATAAATACCATCAAATCATTAATTCTCTGGTTTCCTGTTCAAAACGCAGGCACCGTGCAGGGTTTATGAATTTAGCTKTTGGCAAACAGAAAGCCTGTTTTAGCTGCCAACAGGGCTTGCCAGAACCCGCTCGAAAGACTGAAATAACAATAAAGGTTCAATTTGCTGTCGTCCAGAAAAGTTTTTGTCCATTTGCGAGATTTCAAAGTAAAATTAAATCCTTCTTCAGAGTGCCACAGATACATTAGTGTTGAACTCGGTGGCACTTTTTCCTCGTGTTTCAAAGCATCTAACCGTATGTTAAAGGACCTCTAGTATTTCAGAGTTTAACTTGGCTTTTCAGTGACCTTGCATTTTGCAGCAAATAAAATGATGGAGGTCTGAGATGTAGCCTGAAAGCATTTTGTGATGAATGAAATTAAAAGCTTTCATGCATCAAGCTCATCTTCATCAGGAGGCTCTTACAGTGGCTTCAGAGAATCATAATGGTCCCAGCCTTTTGTGTTAGACAGAATTATACAAAATCAATCAGATCTTTCCTTCTCCTGCTGCTGAGCTGTGCACCCTGTAAAGGAGAATGAATCTGGAAATGCAATGGTTGTTGCTTTAACTGTTCAACCATACAGAGACGTTAGAAAGACTTTAAAATGATGCACTAATTGGAGAAAAATCTCCGCTTTTTGTGAAGGATATTTTTAAAACTTGAATGCGTAGAAGGTTTGATGTCTGTATAAGCAAAAGAAAAGTTAACTTTTAGGGCCTTTTTTTGTTGTTTATTTGGCGAAGAAAGCTTTTGGCACAGGAACCAGAAGTGATTGCACTCCCTGCCAAGGCAGTTTTTATAGCCAAGCCTGCTCCATCAAAGATTTGGGAAAAATGTGTTAGGATAATTATTAGGGGTAATTTTTTATAACAAAAACATGTATTTATAACTTCTAATTGTCTGATTTTTTTATTAACCAGTATTTCACCGTCAGATGAATTAATAACATAGCTGCAGGAAAGCTGTTTTTTTATTTATTATCCTGGATCTGCAATTAAATCTCAGCAGTTCTTGCTGTCTATTGCTTCCAATATTGATGATATATGAATTTAAAT